AAACTACACCACCTCCCATCTTCTTCAATGGCCCCAAAGTTGAAAAGGAAGAAAATAAAAAATAAAATAAAAAAGCTTATCTATTTGCATGTGAACCAAAATCTAACTAATCCTCACAAGTCAAATCCCAAATAGTACTTCTACTTATTCGATTTCTCGATCTTTCATGTTGATTTAGGCAAGAAAAACATAACAAATTGTAATATAAAGACTACCGTGTCATGTTACCTTATTAATTACCTTATAATAAAGTTTGTCACTCCAATGAATTAAGTAATTTAAATAGGCAAAATTAGTCATTTTTCTCTGCATAAAATATTTTACATAAAAGAAATATGGAGTCCGGTTTGCCTACTCATGGTATGTAGGCAACATTGACTACTTTGAGAGAGTAAGCAAATTTTGTAAACACAATTGTTTATAAGATTGGAGCTAATTTTTACCTACATGGCTCATCAAAATAAATTTACCTACTCAATTACCTATGTTATTCAAAATGCTCTAAAGAGATCTTTCTGTCTTCGTCTTTCACATTTTTAAAGGTTCCCCCTCCAACCCCAAAAAGTTTACCTATTTTTTTTGTGTGTTATTAACCAAATGAAGGTGTGTTACACATGCGGGGAAAACCTAACATGCATATAGTGATAATTATCTTTCAACTCATTCGATTGTAGGGTTTGAAATTTGTGACCACAATTGATTGAGTTTTCAAATTTTGTTCTTCCTTTTCATTCTAAATCTTTTAAATAATATCTTTATTGCAAAATGTGTTTTAGTTAACTTAAGTAGAGTGATGTGCTTTTTTCTTTGTACACAAATTTGAATATTTCATCTTTGTAGTTTAGATAAATTTAGTGCATGAAATAATTTCACGAGGATTCTCTTAAAACTTAATACTTAGGCCAACATTGTTGTAAACATGATTGAATCACGGAGTATAGTGTTTTGTTACCGAACATAAGCTCATAGGCAGATTAATGTATTTCAATTATCATGTAAAAATCACATGCATCAACGGTTGATAGTCACTCATGTATTACGTAAATAACAGATTATAACGCTTGTATACATTAACCAAAGAATGAATAGAAGGATTGGCGAGTGACATGAATCATAAGAAGGATTTAATTAGAACCCTGCGGAATTAAATGATTATTTTCGTAATGTAAAACTCTAGATTGAACATCACGTCAGAGGTCAATTTGGTCGACTGCGATTTGACTTTGCTCATCAGAGGGGCATAAGAAAGTGATTCACGGACAATACTAGGGGCAATTGTAGAACTCGAACGTCAAAAAGTTGTATTTTGGCAGTATGCGGACTTGGTCGTAAAGCAATCAGGCGACGCCGACTCTATCACAACTGGTTCCCTGTCTCCTGAGGTCGAAACGTCACAACTACGGCCCTACAATTTACTGTCACTGCTTTACGTGTCAGACTGCCATTTCTCTGCCGGAAAAAAGAAGAAGAAGAAGAAATCCTCAGAGTCTCGTGAATTCATAAGCGCAGCAACCACGACGACGACGCCGTTTCCTTCCCGCCTATTCACATACTTGAGTCAAACCTTTTATACTTTTAAGGTTATCGTGACGTCATATGAAGATGATTGGTTTAGAGCACCGTCATTTTTATGTATTAATTTCATGTAAATCCTTCTACTTGTGGACCTTGTATGATTGGGGTTTCAAGCTTCAGATTGAAACACACATGTTGTCTTAAGTGTAATTTATGGATAATTTGTACTTTCTTAATCTTATTATCCAATTGTTCCACTTGTAATTTGGGAAAGAAATCCGTTAGCTAGGACTAGGTATCGAAGAAGAATTGATGATGAGTCAAGATTAAAATAAAATTTAAATTCAATTTTATTCCATGTAGCTAAAAAGAAAAATAAAATCTCTAAAGAGAAGCATTACATGACAATGAGAGATGCTGCTATAAAGTATAAAGTGCATCAGCAGACCTAATATTTTCTGTTTAAATATGAGGTTTGAAATACAATTGAAGACATATATATATATATAAATACTTATTGTTATCACTCCATTTTATGGGTCTACCATGATGGCATTAATTCAAATTGGGATAATGGTTTCACAATAAATGGTTTTTTTTTTTTTAAATTTCTCATACACAGAAACACCAATGAATTGCTCAATATATTATGCCAATATTGTGTCATGCGAAGAAGATGAAATATACCAAGTTATCTTACAAGTTACGAACACCTTGGGCATCAATGGCTTGCATGGGCCCTAAATTGTTCCAAATCTTTGACATATTCCAGATATAAATGATCACATGTTAAGGCCAATTTAATGAGAGTACAAATAAAAATAGTTCTTCAACTTCTGCACTGTTTCACTGTTAACATACACTTTGATTGGCTCCTAATTTCACTTTCTTTGATTCCTTGAATAATTCTAGCAATCGTTGTGTTAGCAATAGTCGCTCGCGCTCAACCGTTGATGTTTTGCATGATTCACTTATATTAACGACTCATCATGATCCATGCGCTAGTAAACGACTATCGTTATTAGGAGCATAATTAGATGCTCGCGCGCTCAACCCTTGTATTGTATGATCCACTTTCATTGACAATTGGTAGTCATCTATGCGCACGTAAACAACTGTTGTTAGAAACATATAATTAGGTGCTTGTGCTCAATTGTTGACGCATTGTACGTATGACCAGCTTAATTACATTAGCAGTTGAAAGTCATTATCATCCACATGCGCATGTAAAAGACTTTCATTAGCATTATAATCAGTTGTTGCTAGCTAGCTAACCTCATCTAGATGAACGATAATTGAGTCAAAGATCTTCATGTTAGACGACATCTGATATCGTATGATTCACTAGTGAGAACAAACCAGTGTCTTGTCATGTTCCAACCTTCATGGGATGAGCTGGCCTGGATTGTCGGTTTGGTAATCCACTCAATTATTTGTTTATCTATTTTTTTTTTCAATTTTATTTCTATGATCGTATGTTGTGGACCTGGTCGGTTTGACAATTGCTATTTGTAAAATGTTTTAAGCTGAGTATTCAGAGCCCCCCACCCAACCTCCCAGAAAATGAAGAACAACTATGAACATTTAAATGTGCCTACAATCAGACCTATCTGGAGGCCGAAGCTGTGGACTTTTAGGGCTTCTCAATTATTTAGCACTTGAATGATTTGGAGAGATAACAACAATATTCCAAGATTCTGGACCTTAATCCATTCTCCTGTTTTAGCGTTTACACATTAAAGAGCTCAAATTGCTACTTGTTCTAATCACAATAAACCCCTCAAATTAGGGTAATTAAGTTGACTAATATAAAAGACCATTAGTGTGGCCTACTTCACCGCTGTAATCTTGAAAAAGACCAAGTCATTTTCTTTGAGAGCATCAACAAGAAGCCTGCTGGATTCAACCTTCAACCATATTGTAGACCAAAGTCAAATTAAGCTAACTTGGATTCAACCCTCTACCATACAGAGACCAAGTCAAAAGCTAAATTGGGTTTAGAAGTGTTTAAGCTAGAGTTGGGACGTGGCCCAAGTTTTTGGGACCTTCATCCTCTCAAAGAATCTCTTAATCTCGTACAACCATTCAAGAAAGTCTTCTATATGCAAGTGTTTGGACCCAAAATATTGGGTTTGGGCCGAGTATAGTTGTGGGCTTGACACAAAGCAGAGAACTTCAGCCCATGTCATGTTTCTGAAACTTTTTAGTTTAGTCCAAGATAGGATGGTCGAATCCTAATAGGTGAAGGACTCTTCGGGAGTCAGGTTGGAATGGTTTGGCTAAGTTCTAATGTGAGTGAAACTGTTTCAAGGATCAAGATGAACATTGATAGGATTCGTAATATTCCAAGAATCAAGGTTCATGGTTGATCAAGATCATGAGTGAATCGAATACAAAAAATGGAATAGATTTAGAGTCCTAGATCTAGTTGGAGTGGCCAAGTCCTGAGAATGGTGTGATATTGGATCAAGGAATGCTGAAAAGGTATAATCCAGGTGGGACTCTACTTCGGCATGAAGTGATTAGCACGAAAAATCACTTCTATAAATAAAAGAGGTTCTGCAACATTCAACGAACCTTCAACTCAACACACAAAACTACCCTACGCAAATTCTCGCTCTATACAAAACCCTCTCAAACCTTTGAGAAAACACTAACTTCTCTAACTTCGTCAACACACTTTCAGTTTGGATTAACAGCACTATGTTGACAGCCGGCGACATCTTTAGTTTGGATTAACAACACTAGAGCTGTAAAGTCAGGTGACGGAGAAGCACCTTCAGTTTGTAATAACAACACTGCTTCAAGTTTTAGCTGACTATCTATCCAAGTCTCTTTCGACAAGGAGTCCTTGAATCCTTGTTGAAAGAGGTCATCTCGTTAGCATTCTTGGCGAAATGAGGTGTTCCTAGTTACTCAGTGTTCAACACATTGAAAGCCAAACCTTATTTGAACTTCATAGTGACTAGCAGTCTTGTCTTCAGGCTCTATAACTCAGAGGCGGAGACATATTCCTTCCTTGGCCGTGATCACTTATATATAGAAGTTAACAGTGCGTTCAACACCATCACATCACTAGTACAAAAAAGACTTTGCGCGACGTAGGACCGTCGTCGCGCAAAGTCAAAAATACGTCGCCCAAAAAATAGCCAAACGTACCTTCGTCGCGCAAGAATCGTCCCGCGAAGGCAGTGAAGGAAGGGTTTGCGCGACGCAATGCCTACCTACGTCGCGCAAAGTAGTTTTGCGCGACGTAGGTCCTGCGTCGCGCAAAGATACGTCGCGCAAAGTAGCTTTGCGCGACGTAGGACCTGCGTCGCGCAAAGCTACTTTGCACGACGCAGTGCCTACCTACGTCGCGCAAAGCTACTTTGCGCGACGTAGGTAGGCACTGCGTCGCGCAAACCTTTTTTTTTTTTTTTTCATTTATATTTTTTTATTTAATTTTTAATAAATATTATAATTAAATTCTAAACAATAATTAATAAACCAAGAAAAAGTAATTAATTATAGAATATATGAAAATGTACGTTTGTCTGAACAAAAAAAATAAAAAACTGCAAGTCTTCTAAGTTTAATACATCATGCTACTCGGTATCGTTTGGGCGAAATGGCTGGGAAGTCGAAGGTGGAGCAACATTAGGTGCTAGCATCGTCGGGATTTGGAGGCCGGACATCGGTAAGGCCTGAACAATCATATTCATCCTCTTGTCCTGGGCCCTAATATGGTCACCCTGGGCCGCAACCTGACCTCTTAGGGTTATCACTTCCTCCAAGGAATTGACCTCTCATGTGGACAATTTGGAAGAAGAAGCACCCGTTTCACGAACCCCCGCCTTCCCCGTACACCGAACAACCTTACCATGACGACGACCGAACTTCTGATCCTGGACCTCAGTCACGATCTGAACATCTGCATCCTTGGGTACAATGACGTCCTCAATCGGGGTCTCTGGGGGAAGCTGCGATGTTGCTTCTTGGAGAATAGCAATTAAACCGTGGCAGTATGTGTATTTTGTGAGCAAAAATGATAGATTTTTTCACTGATTTGTTCCACCTCATGAAAGGTTTAGAATAAACTTTACATGGGATATGTGGGTTATAATGCAACTGCTCAAAAGTATAGTATTTAAATGGTTGGGTCCTGCACTGCTTAAGTCTTTTCAAGTAAAATTCTCATCTAAGGTAATACCGTAATAGCTCGAGGCAATGGGTTAAGCAGTCAGGCATATCATATATAAGTATGTGCATCAAATGTTTTCTAGTTTCAATCCCCTGTGAAAAGTTAACACTTCCTACAAATCTGGAAAAGCCATATGCAAGGCTCATTCTTCAGAACAAGAATACAGGTTTTTCACAACTATCTAAAAGAACAAGATTTTGAAGAATACATCTAACATGCATGAATACTATATGTAAGTCAATGCCAATTAAATAAGCAAAAGGAAAATTTCTGTTATGCAGAATAAAAATTAACAACATAAAATAAGATATAATAAGGAAATCTTTTACGAGAATAAAATGTTACAAGTTCTTACGTTCTGCAATAAACTAGCCAAAGAACAAAGTGCGATATTATGTCCTTGTTGACGACCTCAGATGCCTGAGGATGCCTCATATTTGTCTTCCATAGTTCTATTGCCTGTAAAATGCCAAAATGTTAATTTTCTAAAAGGGTGCAATAACGGAAATGAAAAGAATTTCAACCTGGAACTACGGTTTTACCAAACTAACAATTATATGAATCAAACTAACAATTATATATACTTCCCAATATACCATTTCGAATAGCAAACTCCCCAGAGCAATCATTTTCATAGACTAAAAAGCCAAAACCCATTTCGAATACCAAACTCCCCAGAGCAATCAAACTAACAATTATATGTACAATCGTGGTACACAACAGGTTTGACACCAGGATCTTTCAAAATCACTATAGCAGGTGTAGATTTTACCTCAAACCTGTTGGAAAGCATATAAGTTCCTATGAAATCAAAGATGCATAATTTTCGGTACCCCAATTTATAGTAATAGTTCAAGTTTAAACTCACAATAGTAGTGTTTGTGTTATTTTAGACTCAAGTCACATAATATTTTGAAAATCTGGAGAACCTACCTGGAGAACAGTACTCTTTCAAGAATTAAACCAAAAGGACAATTCCTCTTCTTACCATAGCACGAATGCAAAAGAAGCATGACTCCAATAATTTTTAGCAGTTTGGCGTATGAATGGAGCAGCACGCACCCCTGTTTTTGAGAAGAAAATGACTTTTACCTGTGAACCAGAAGAACAAAACCATTATCCAAGCGACAGGTCGAAAGTATTAACAATAGATAGCAGCATGTTGCGAAGGCATCTATTTATACGTTGATCAATTAAAATGCATTAGCAAAATATTGAATCTGCAAGTTCCTTGTGAAGACTAACTTTTGCTAGAAACTTTTGCCCTTGAAAATTGAAGTATGCATTCATATCATTTTCAGGTATGTTAAAAGGTGACAGAAAATAAAGAGCAGAAAAGCGAAAAAAGGAAAGGTGAATTAATAACACGCGTAAATCAGCTAAGCAAAAATAAAATCATATGAGAAACCAGATTGGAATCATTGGATAACCTTATACTGGATCAACCTTGAGTTATCTTTTGAACAAATGCGTGACTGAATGCGTGACTGAATACGAGGCAAACCAAGTACGGTTGTTGCAAACCAATGCGTGATTGAATCAACTGAAACTAAACAAAAAGGTACTGTTATCTAAAATGAAAGAGTGCATTACAAAGCTTAGATAGGTTGGCAGTTGACCAAACCCAGTGAAGCTTAAGAACTAAAACCCAGATTTGCATCAGACCAACTAAATTCAGTAAATTAATTAAATCAATTCATCCTTAATTTTGCATCAGACCAACTAAATTCAGTAAGCAGACCAACATTTGCATCAGAAACCCTTACCTTGATTTTGGGAGTTGATTCCCGTCGGTTTCGATCGTGTGGCTGCCCGTCGTTTAGAACGAGAGGGAAGAGATAGGTATACGGGAAAGAGAGAGGGAAGACAGGTCTGGGTTCAAGATTTGGGGATCAAGGTTGCGAAGAGGAGAGATAGAGGAGATGAGGACTATGGGAAGGGGAGATACGGGAAAGATAGAGGAGATGAAGTCAACAGGGTTCCCAAACGGGAAAGATGGAGCCAGAGGGAAAGATAGAGGAGATGAGGACTATGGGAAGAGGATATGCGTCTACTGGAAGAGAGATGAATACGGTAAAGATGGAAGGGTTCAAGGTTTTCAACTGGAAAGAAAGAGGTGAACGGGTTCAAGGTTCCCAAAATTAGAAAATTGAAAAAAAAAGCGCCTAACTTTCACTATTTACCTCCAAAATTTTCAACTGGCGCGACGTGGGAATACAATTTGACGTCGCGGAAAGTGGTTTTGCGCGACGATTACATTAAAGCGTCGCGCAAAGTAATTTGTTTTTTTTTTAAAATTATTAAAAAATTTATCACACACGCCAAGTCCATCACTCTTCAGCATCCAACCGTCAAACTTGTTTGTATATGCTTCGAGATCGCATACGCCAAAAATGGCAAAAAACAAATATGCAGATATCAAGTAACGGGACAAAAAATTTTGACGGTTATAAAGGAAAAATCACGATTTAACAGTAGTTTTAACTCCGATTTTAATGATTTTTTTACAGCTACACTCCTGGATCCTATATGAATACAATGAACTAATTCGATCATCAATTTAAAGTATTAATAGAAGTGGATACCACAAAATCTTATGTTATACTTAATAAAAGTATAAATAAACTCTAAGTGTTAGTGAATCTATCGTTTTGATGGGAAACGCATTGTACGAAACTAATTTGAACGATCCAACCGTCAAACTTGTTTGTATATGCTTCGAGATCGCATACGCCAAAAATGGCAAAAACAAGCATGCAGAGATCAAGTAACGGGACAACAAATTTCGACGGTTATAAAGAAAAAATCACGATTTAACGGTAGTTTTAACTCAGAGTTTGATGATTTTTTACAGCTACACTCCTGGATCCTATATGAATACAATGAACTAATTCGATCGTCAATTTAAAGTATTAACACAAGTGGATACCACAAAATCTTATATTATACTTAATGAAAGTATAAATAAACTTTAAGTTTGATTGCGCGACGCACATTCCTAATGTCACATAAAGTCTCTTTGCACGACGCACATACGTCACGCAAAGATGTGCCTACGTCACGCAAACAATTCTTTTGGTATTTCCTTCAGTTTGATCATCAACTCCAAACATTCTAGCCTCCCAAACAGATCAAATGAAAAGAAAAAAAAGTTGGTGACTTTGCGCGACGCATGCCCACCTACGTCGTGCAAAACAACTTTGCGCGACGTAGGTGGGCATGCGTCGCGCAAAGGTGGGAAAAAGCGGTAAATTCTTAGGGTTTGGCGCCAAAATTTTGCGCGACGAAGGACTACGTCGCGCAAAGCCGTTTTGCGCGACGTTATTTTATGTGTCGCACAAGTTTTCGTCGCGCAAACATGTTTTTGTACTAGTGCATTCATTCTACTCACCGACCAAGCTCGGTCAATGAATTGGCACACCCGCATTCACTAAAGGACACAATTAGCTCATTAGCTATTTGGCATGCACGCTATGTAGGCTAATTAGTTTTTAAGGTCAACAATAAGTCACTATTGGAATAGGGTCATGTCGAAAAAGTGCTCATCAATGTTGTTACTTTTGTTACTATTATTTTGGTTGTTTCATTGAACTCGTTCAGGCTCTGCAAATTCCTCCTTCGAATTTCCTTCACTACCCTCTTGAACATGCCTAGGCTTGGGTGCTCCATGTGCCACGGACTGGCTAGTCATCATAATGACGATATGGATGTAAACCATCAACTAGGTTGTCAACGTTTAGGCAAGTTGAGAAACCTGAGCAACAAGAGCATTGAAATCTGATTGGGTAACATGTTCAACCCTACGGCCATCGTCGGCAGGGTTCTAATCACAACCACCACTATTGGCTATTGAGAATATTGCTCTTATACCACTTGAAACGTTGTGACAGAAGATTATTCAACGATAATCTTAAATAAGAAAACTAGAACCTTCCAGAAAGTATGACAAAACCTCAAAAGCTTATTGAAGGATAATTGATAAGATAACAAACATAATGCCTAAAGGAGTCCAACCAGAAAGTATTTATAGTCAAACCCTAGGAGTCCAAAAGGAAGGAAAACTAATGAAAATGGCTTGAAAACTTTGAGTTTTAACGATAAGGACGAAATAAAAGGTAAAGTGAATAGTACCATGATTGACTTTTTAGTGTAAAAATATGGTTTTTCGTTAAAATGAACAGTACTATGAGCTTTTCGTTAAAGTTCCCGTCCAAAAGTTAACCAAATAACAAAATATCGAAACATCCTTAAAACTTAAAACCGTAATAAAAACACTATAAACAATGGATTTCAGCTGAAAATTCTCATACATCGTGAAAACTTGGTGAGTTTGATACACATCGCCATTCTCTTTGAAATAACGAGTAATCGACCCAAATCAATCATTGGAGCCTAAATCTATAAAGCTTTATTTTTGTTGTCCGATTTGCACTTTTTAATTTGATTTTCAATTCATTCTGCCATTTGATCTACGTAAAAAAATAGAATTAAGATGATGAAGGCTAATATTTAGGTTTTAAGTCTTTGATGTTAGTTCAAGTGATGATGACAAGTGAGTTAAACAAAAATAAACCAAGTCAAAATTCGATTCCGTTTTAATGTAACATAAAAAAAAATAAAAAAATAAAGTTGTTAGGGTTGAGGGTTCCACCTGAAGATGGAACTTCATATTAAAAGTTAAACTATATATATATATATGAAGAATTTTTTGGATGAAATAAATTATTGGACACTCGTATCTTCTTCAACTCCATATGAATTTGAGGCCGCTGCTTTTTTGGAGCATTTTTGTTGGCCCATTTCTCGGCGAGGGCAGCAACCATCATTTGGTGCCCATCCAAGATCCCTTGATAAAGTCGGTCTTGGGGGACCAGAAAAATGTTGTGAACTCCCCAAATCCAAAAAAAGTTGGTGATAATTAAGTAATGAGAGGACGATTTTCGTGTGGTAGTAATTGAGATCCCATTCAAATTTCGGAGAATTCGTTCATATTCTAGCGGCTGAGCAGTCTCAAGCTCCACCCCGTTACGCTCTCTGAAAAAACTAGGACGACAATCCAAAGAAAATGGTGTGATATAAGTTCCTCATGTTGAGGGTGAGACGGAAAATTAAGGGATCGTGTCTTTCAATTCTTCGACACGTTGTAGGGCATGCATGCTCTCGCTCATCGAAACAAATTTGACTCAATTACGGGAGAGTTGTTACTTGCATGCAAAGTTAAGAAGAATTAGTATATGAGTTAATAATAATAAATTTGTAAACAGAAACGAGATGTGTTACTAGTAGAGCACATATGCACATTGTCTTGCTCCTTCCCCAACAATGTGGTTAATAAGCACATTGTTTTGTGAGAATCTAAGATTGTATTTAAAGAGCACCTTAATATTCCTCTGTACAAAGAAAACAAATTTAAAATTTGGATTTTTAGTTGATATACACTAATTTTTTTTATTTGGATTTCTAAACGAAAAAACCTAGAAGTTCATAGGGAAAAACAATAATTAGAATTTGGTGCTTACCACTCTCATAATTTCAGAATTTCACAGTAAACTTAAATCTTCTACGTATTTCTTACCATGTTGCATCTACTCTTCTTCATTTATTCTTTCTCTAGATGTATGTCTCTTCTATGACGAACATAAATAAAAGAATAATTCTATTCATAATAAATTATACCGTATAATGTGACAAGTGATTATCATGAACACATTAATTAGTGTTTTTTTTTTTCCAACTGCCATATCAATTAGTGTTTTATTGAAATTTTCTCGTTGAATATTGAAGTTTTCCCATTGGATACATCATATATCACATCATATGGCATAAAAATATAAGTGACACACCCCGTCCCGAAGGAGGGCATGCTGGCCGTCACTTGAGAGTGACGTAACCATTTACACAGTTCGGAAGCTTTAAAGATATAATTACTAAGATGTAACACCCAAGGGTGAATCCTACTTTTGTGAATTCTCAAGATGTCCAAGACCGCAACCTAGGCTCTGATACCAACTGACACACCCCGAATAATGCGCGTGCCTCAAAGGGCATTTTTGTAAAATCCTTTATTAAACTTTCAAAACTCTTAAAATCATGGACGGGCTGTCACAATAAGGCTATTTACCTAAAGGTCATTTAAAAATCTTTAATTAGCCATATATCAATGATCATTTTTTTTTTGTAGACATAATCAGTGAAATATGTATACTAATGCATAGGTCAATGAAGCATGCTGCATAGGTTTAAGTTAGTTAGAAAATAACTATTTTACTCTTTTCTCTTCACTCTATTCTTTTCCTTATCTCTTCACCTCTCTTGTCCTTATTTAATCTCTTCTAACATGGCTTTTTCTCCATTCTCTCTTCACTCTCTCCCATTCTTCTCTCCTCCCTTCTCTCTGCCGTTCTCTATAATAATATGTCCTCCATCATATTATTATCACTTCTTCTGCAACCTAAATCTTCATAGAATTAATTAAGCAAATTAGCAACATCACTAAGGGCTGCTATTTTCTCGGTTTTATCTGCAAATCTTGGAGCCATGTGGGAACTCTTGCTTTTGAGAGTTCCAATGTCGTTGCTTATGACTCAATGAACCTTCATGTAACTAGTTTTAAACTGCTTCGACAATCTCCAAACGAGATGTCATCCTAAGTGGAATGTCATACAATCAAATTTGAAAGTAGGAAGAAGTTTAAACCAATATGCCAATCCTATGTGGATTGACATATAAATTTTCTACTGCCAAATTTGACATATGAGAAAATGTGTTGTCAAATAATTTTTAACTATTTTATTATGTGGATCCCCTTAATGCACCGATTATAGATCTTGAATTTTTTTTAAATGATTTCTCTTTAAAAATGCGTCTTACAAATATCATTTAGAGGTATTTGTCAATTTGCCTCCCGAACTTGTAAGGATTAACCAATTTCCCCCTAAAATGTAATTTTAGCCAATATTCCCCTTCAACTCTCATAATTAGTCGATTTCCATCTCGTTGTAAAATTTTCATGGGTAAAAGACTATTTACTACCCTCATGTTTTGTGGTTTTCAACATTTAGTACATTAAGTTTTTTTCGTCTCAGATTCATAGCTATAGTGTAAATTTTGGGACAGTCTCATACATCCGTTAGTCAAACTGTTAAATTTACTGTTAATTGTGATGTGGCGCCATGACTGGGCGCCACGTGTCATCCACGTTTTTTTTTCTTCTTTTCTTCTCTCTTCTGCAATTTTTTTTTCTTCCTCCTTCTCCTTCTTCCTTCCTCCTTCCTCCTCCTTCTTCTTCTTCTTCCTCTGCATTTGGGGAAGTTTTTTTTTTTTCTTTTTTCCTTTTTCTTCTTTCTTCTTCTTCCTCCTTCTTCTTCTTTCTTCTTCTTTCTTCTTCTTCTTCTTCTTCTTCTTCCTCCGACTGCAACCTTTTTTTTTTCCTTCCTCCTTCTTCTCCTTCTTTCTTCCTCCTTCTTCCTTCCCCTTCTTCCTTCTTCTTCCTTCTCCTTCTTCTTCCTCAAATCTGGGGAAGATGAAGGTTTTTTTTTTTTCTCTTTTGAGGAAGATGAAGAAGAAGGAAGAAGGAAGAAGGAAGAAGGAGAAGAAGGGGAAGGAAGAAGGAGAAGAAGAAGGAGGAAGAAGAAGAAGGAAGAAAAAAAAAAGTTGCAGTCGAAGGAAGAAGAAGAAAAAAAATAAATAAAAAAAATAAAAACCTTCATCTTCCCTAGATTCGGAGGAAGAAGGAAGAAGGAGAAGAAGGAGGAAGCAAAAAAAAAAAAAAAAAAAACCTTCATCTTCCCCAGATTCGGAGGAAGAAGAAAAAGAATAAGAAGAAGGAAGGGGAAGGAAGAAGGAAGGAAGAAGGAGAAAGAAGAAAAAAAAAATAAAAAAAATAAAAAAAACGTTGATGACACGTGGCGCCCAATCATGGCGCCACGTCACAATTAACGGCAGATTTAATAGTTTGACTAATGGATGTATGAGACTGTCCCAAAATTTACACTTTAGGTATGAATCTGAGATGAAAAAAACTTGATGTATTAAATGTTGAAAACCACAAAACATGAGGGTAGTAAACAATCTTTTACCCAATTTTGATAATTTCCATCCATTATTCCTATTCATATGTCACGCGTTATCACGTGACCACAATAGAAAATTATTTTCTCCCTACCTTCTCCTTCCTTTTCTCCACCCACGTGCGATCTACAACATATTTCTCCACAGCAGTAGCTTGACCTAATTCAACACCCAGGTGTTATCCGTCATTTGAGTTTAAGAAATGTATGTCGAAATTGAAAGAAAAAGATTGGATTTTTGTGAAGAAAATCACAAAAGTGAGAAATTTGACAACCTCTAAAAGGCCCAAATGAAGGATGGAAGAGCTAAAGAGATAGAAGGGATTAAAAAAGACGTCTTGACGAATGTTAGAAGGTCCCAGATATCGATTCGGCTCGACTCATCTCCGCAACCAGGTACAAACTCCTCCCTGAATGGGGCTATGGTTGCGTCGCCACCGTCATAGTCGTCAACCAAACATCCCCCACCCCATCAACACAGACAACTCTGACAACAAGCTCGTTCTTCTCTCTACTCCGCCTCCTGCGGCAACTAGAACTTCAACATACCGACCTATCCACGCCTTTGACTAAATAACATGAAACTGAATTATAGGTTTGGAAATTAGATGAGAAACATAGGGTAATATTGGGTTTGAAAGGTCAAACAAAGAAGAAACATACAAAAATGCTGGTTTGAGAGTGAGAAGAAAAGGAAGAAGAATGTATGGAGAAATTCACATTATTGCCCTTTAAAAGGTTATCATGTGAATAGCTTGTGGAATGTAGGGATAAAAGTGTCCAACCACTCTTTCTTTTTAGCCTCCTTCTCTCTTCCCTCTTTCTATCTGTGTTATTGTACCTCTTCTCGGCTCACTCTCCAAGCTTTCACACATTTATTCTATGTTAGCCATTTTCTTTCTGTCTTTGTAATCTTAAAAATGTAGGAATAACATTATTCAAATGCTTACGAAAAAAAAATTACACCTTTAATGAAAGCAAGACTGCAAGACATTACCCTAAAAGAAACCCATTTAGGAATGTACCAATAATTTCCGGTTAAGTATTCAAACGAAGAATTGCAGACTTCAAGCATTAAAATTCTTACATGTTCAGGCAATTATGACTCAGATAAACCGAACAGCAAGCACTTGACTCTTTGATCTTCAAATGAGCAAAAGCACACACAAAATGGGCAGAATCAACATTAACCCATGAATGCAGACTTCAAGAATTGCAGACTTCAAGCATTGCAGAATTGACAGCGAGGAGGCCGATGATGAGGTCCGGGCTGCCGGTTATGCCGATGCAGAGGGTGGTGCTGTTGAGGCGCTCGAGGGTGAGCTAGCGCTTGCAAACGAGGGAGCAGGCATCATGGTTGGGCTTGGATTCAAGCCTTCAGAAGACCTCAACGATCAGCTCGCAAGGAGACACATGTTGATCCTATCATGGCCTTGCATTGCACCGTAGAGGTATACTTACACAGACACATAGAGAGAGAAAGAGGAGGCTAGCAAAAATAAAGAGTGTGGTTGGACATTTTTATCCTTATACTTATCTGAGTTTAACATAAGTTTGTTTTTTGGGTTAATTTTGCTAATAATCTTCATCATAAGGGTTTAAATCCTATGTTTTTTTTACCACATGGGCAATTCTCCGAATACCTTATCACTACGGGGACTATTAATCCGATTTGGCCTAAAATTTTTGAAAATTAACGGCATGGTGGAAATTGACTAATTATGAGAGTTTATGGGAGAAATCGGCCACAAAAATTAAAGTTGAGAGGGAAATTGGCCAATCATTTATAACAAAAAAAGATATGGACCAGAGGAACAAAAAATCTGACATTACCACAACAGTAATCAAATTAACATTTGATATTTCCATTAAAAATGCTCGTAACAGATATAATATTTAAGCAAACATAACTAGTGTAGAATTACTCCATGTAAAATTAAAAAATAAATAAAAATAAAATGGTTATCAAATAGTTTTCACCGTTCAAACTTTGTAGTCTCCTCTCACTACTTTGTAGTCTCCGCTCTGATTACCTTCGTTGACGTCAAGCGTGTCACCGTTCAAACTTTAAACCCATTTTTTTATTCTCAAAGAAAAATATGTTCATCTTTGATGCACGCTCAACCATTGCTCGATGAGAAGCCGCATAGCTTGTGCAACCATTGCTTCAACCAAGCTTATGCAAGACAATCATAGAGAACCTCCATATTCTTCTTCTTCTGGGTAAGCAATCTGAGTCTTTCTTCATATGCCCTTCACACATGTTTTCGTTTATGGGTTTTCTTTTTCTTTCTGAATAAGAAAGCTTAATGATTTCATTTCTTGGTTTTTAATGGAAGAATAGGGTCTGGTTATAGTGTAAAGAAGTAGGTTTTGTAAGATTATGAGTACAAAATATGTGATAGAACCGGTCATAGTGTTTGATATTGATATGGAAAAGTCTTGATTAAAGCTATTTGGTTGTCCTCAATGTTTTAGGATAACAGAATTGTGTGAAGTTCAATTGGTTTGGGAAAAGAACTTATTGTTGGAACTCTATAAGGTTTCATAATTCTTTATGGCTTCATCATCAGGATCGAATAATGCAGGTATGTAAAAAATTTGTTCTTGAGTGTATTTAATAAAAGGCTTATATAATTTGTGATTCAATTGGATGAATTCAAGTTCCTCGGATAAGAAGTTGCAAACTTGTTCTTACAGGTTTGTCTCAGATTATGGAGAAGAATTTTGTTCTGTTGGTTGGGATTTTATTGTTGTAGATTGTAGTTCATTGCTCTGGTGCTGATTTGAAGGTAAATAATGAGAACTTATATTTTTGGAGTGAATTTAGTTGTTCTGTGGTCTATATTTATTTGTTAGAGGTTTTGAATGTAGGTAGAATCCGGTGTGACAACTGATTTGGACCGCAAAAGTTTGTTAGCATCGGATAATTCAAATGGTTCCATTGATAACATTGTTGGGTCTAATTCAGTTTTGAATGCTAACAATGTTCAAAAGGTGAAGAAAGACGGAGATCAGGTGGTTGGATCAAATGAGGGTATTAGGGATAAGAAGAGCAATTCAAGTAAGGAAATAGGTGTGAAAGAATCTGATAATGTGGCAAAGAGTGGTGAAGGGTTGATAGGAGCATATTTATGCAACTTAGTTAGCTTGTTTCTTGGCATTTACTTAGTTTAATTCTAGTTATTTTAGTACTTTAAGCTATTTTCGTGTTTGTAGGTTCAAATAACAAAGTTGGCAACAAAGTGCTATTTGGAGCATTTTGGAGCATTTTTGGTCCAAGATTGGATAGTGCAAGCATGGAGACATGAGGATGGACATTTTTGAAGATTAGAAGGCTAGAAATCAGCATGTGTGTGTGCAAGTGTGTTGACCTACAACTACAAACATCAATCCACTACACCCATTACATCCACTCATTACCAAACACTCACTCATTTCACCCAACACATCCCCTCATTACAACCACCCAACACATTCACCTACCACTACATCCACTCATTTCACCCAACACATCTACTCATTACAATCACCCAACACATTCACCTACCACTACATCCACTTATTTTACCTAACACATCCATTCACCTACCACTACATCCAGTCATTTCACCCAACACATCCACTCATTTCAACCACCCAACACATTCACCTACCACTACATCCACTTATTACCACCACCCACTACATCCTCTCCCTTGCCTATAAATATATCCATCCAAAGACACATTGAGGGGGGACAGTTTAGGGAGAAGGGAGGAAGACACATTCTGCCGCAAGGCAGAGTCTTTTCTTCTTAACCAATCTACACAATTCTCCACTCTTTGCCGCATTCAATACAACCTTCATCCAAACACATCCATTCCTCCATACAAACAAACCTTCAAACACATACCAACACCTTGTGCTGTAGCAAATGAAGGGAAGGAAAATGCTTGGACATGCTTGCTGTCTAACTTGGATCGTTGGAGCGTTTAGGTGTTTTCTTTCTTTTGTTTCCAATGTTTAAATTCATTTTCTTTTGGTTTGTTGTGAATATGAGTGGCTAAACCCCTATTGGCTAGGGGTGATTTCAAAGCCATGATTATGTGTGCAATATAATTTGATAAATTCTAGTTATGAACTCTTGAATCGTGAATGCAGTTGGCTTAACTATTTGATTGATAACTTATTTGTATTTGTTAATTAAGGGTCGACACTTAATTAGCATGCATAAATCCGTTGCTAGAATATAAGGAAGTTTAACATAATCGTTACAAACTTATATTCACATGTAGTGAAGGTCGCTTATAAACGATCGCGTTAAGTTCAATTCCTAGCATGAGTGACATGATGTCATAGTTGCAAGTGCTTTGTCAATGCTTATGATTTTCATTAAACATAATGATCTTTTATTGTATCTCTATTATGATGTCATGTAGGGAACTTTAAAAGAATGTTTTTGGTTGTCGAATGATGTCATCCAATCCAATAAAACAAGGAAAATCTGAGAGTTAACTAGTGATGTCACGGTTAATTTGGAGCATTGTCGTTCATAATTCAATGAAGTAGTAACTGGAAATCGAGTTATTTGCATACATGTCATGTGTGGAGAAAAAGCCTCTAGCTATCCCATCCATCATCTTATTTCTCAAATTTGTTTTACAATCTGTCTAGTTTTTCATACTTGTTTGTTTGTTTCAACTTCGTCCAAAACTCAATCCCCCTTTACTTTAGTGTGTCTAATTAGTTAGAATCTGTTTTAATTTGTGTTTTTAAATGTTTTGATTCAAGTAAAAGTCAATTTTCGTCCAAACATTCCTAGTGTCTAGTTTAAGTTTATTTAGTTGTTCTAAGCTGGTTTGAGTATTTTAAGTTTGCTTTGAGTCTTGTGAGTCTTGTTAAGTATTTTTAAGTTTAGTTTTATGTTTTTGAGTCAGTTTAGAGGTTATTAGCAAGCCCTCATAATCCCTGGTCCAGAACGATCCCTACTTATACTTATACTACAGTTGTCAAAAGAGGGTTAAATTTGTGTGTTAAGATAATTTTCGCATCAAGTGTCGAGCAAAGGATCTAAATTAGAGGGCAAGGACAAGAAACAAAAGCAGAGTGATGGGTTGGAATCAAAGGAAGTGCCTAAGGAGGTGGATAATGGTGCAAATACGGTCTTTGTGAACCTCATAGGGAAGGAGGGGACGTGGAGTGAGGAATGTGATACATCTAATATATGTACTGATGAGGGCAACCAGTTGGTTGCGTGTTTGAAAGTTCTCGGAAATGGTATGTTTTACATTTTGTATTCATGGTAGTTCTGTGCATATTTCTTGTTTATACTATCCATCCTTGGTGTTTTCCTTATTTCTTGGACTAATGGATTGTTCTCATTCAACTAAATTATCAGTCTGGTTAAGAATTTTGTCATGCAATAAATATTCAGATATGTTCTTTATGTGTTTTCAGATCATTATTCATTTAGCATACTGAAATATAGTTTTTTAATTGTATTTTTTATAGTTAAGTTTGTATTGTTTTGCATTGATCATACTTGACTTATTGTAGGTTATCATTTTTCAAATTCTCACCATCTTTCACTTTTAATTAAGAACATGGCCAAAGGCCCTCTCTTGGTTACCATTGTAACTCCTGATTTTGTGCAACTGGACGAAACAAAAATTCAACTTGAAGAGAAAGAAAACAGAAAAGTAAGTGTAAAGAACACTAAAGAGTTGGTCGATCACAAAATATGTTTATTTATTTATTTTTTATTTTTTATGATTTCTTAATTGAAGCTAGTATATTTTCACTATGATGCAAATTCTTCATATCGTCCTGTTTTACTTTAGACTATGATGTCTAATACTTGTATAAATAAATTGTGCGATTGCTTTTGCAAAATAGTTGAAAAGGGATCCCTAGGGCTATAGAGAATCAATTTCTTAATTCTTTTAACAAAAATGCAGCCTAATGTTAATATTCATCATCACATCACACCTGGTTGATAATGCTTCCCTGCTTGAAAGACTTCATAGAAGATTCAATTTGTCCTTGTATTCTAATTGGCAAATGAGAATTTTTTTTTTTCCGCAAGGAAACTTGGTTCCTTTGATACATAGAGTGTCATAAGTTCTTAAACTTTCCAGATGCATACAGCTACTATGAATTGGCTAAATCTTTACACCTATACCCCACGTGGGTAGTATGTCTATCCAAAAAGTACCTTGTAGTAACGAAATCCCATGCAATATCAGTATTGCAGATTCACCGAGTAAGCAATACTTTAATAAGAATCCCACTACACAATAGATTGGTTGATTCAAAAGTCTGTTTCTTATATTGATAGCAAATGTCCTTGCCAAGTTGGCTTGAACACATGATTGGCATTATGTAACTCATTTTGTTTTTGCATTGAAAAAATCTAGGCGGTTTTCTATGGATGTTATAAGCGTAATGCTTGTCACCATGCTAAAAGTGGATTTTGATCTATATAATTTGGGTTCTGCCGGTTTTGGTTTCTGTTGGAAAGGGAGGGGCTGGCAGTTCAATTGTCCTAAAAGCTAGAAATGGTCGATGCAACCTTGATTTGAAGGACCTAATCACAAACAGTTCCAGGAAGAAGCCTGAGAATTCTTCAAACTTCGCCTACACAAACTTCCCAAAACAAAAACCTACGATTGCAATTCTGTTCTTTGCTTCAGCAATGATATTAGCATCGGCTTGGATGTGCATCAGCTTTAGAAATAGGCGGGTCTCTGGCAGTGGGTTGAAATATCAAAAGCTAGATAAGGACCTACCAATTTCCAATGGAAAAAACCGGGTGTTGCATGTTAACGATGTATGGGATAATAACTGGGACGATAATTGGGATGATGAGGAGGCACCTCACACACCCTTGATGCCGATTACTCCTAGTCTTTCTGGCAAGGGCCTCGCCTCACGACGGTTGAACAAGGAAGCGTGAAAAAATTAGTCAGTTAGGTTGACAAAGAGATTATAGATACATGTTCCTATTTTTGTTGATTTGTTTGTCATTGACAGACAATTATTTGATTTTTCATTTCCCAAGCAGGTGTAAAAATAGGAAAAAGGTTTTCCCCACTTATTTATAGGAGGTTATGTGCTGACTTGTACACCAAAAGCTTTTTGGGTGTCTTTGGTGAAGTTTTTCTTTGGGCATTTTGGCATAAAAGTCCTTAATCTTTGCATTACTTCATTGTAGGACGCCATTTAAAACTTGAATTCCCTTTTCTAGGGCAAGTGTGGGTTGCTTGTTGGCTAGGCTACGCCTCTCTTGTACCCAAGTTTGAATTTCCTTTTCCTTAGATTAAAGTAGTTTTGAATATCACTTTGGCTTGTCACTGACCTTACTCACACAAACCTCGTTTTTTGGTTAATTCGGTCTTGTGGATGCAAATTTCTTCCTCCTTGTTCTTGGACAAAATTGCATCTACAAAACAAACAACACTTTAGGTTAAGGCCAAGAGCTTCACGCGCCCACAATGATTTTGGGGGGGGGGGTTAGTCAAAGAACCTCCGATGTTGAAGTTAGAATTTTGAGGGAAACTTTTTTGGAGAATTTAGAGAATTTAGCAAGAGTGCAGAACGTAGGTTTTGAAGAAAATGAGTGCATTTATATAGGGGTGTGGCCGGCCCCTTTAGGAGGAGGAGGACCGGCCACTTGGATGGTTTTTTGGGTGAGATTCATGATTTGTTGCTAATTAATAAATTAACTAGGTAATAAATCAATTAATTAGCTAATTAATATATTTAGAAATGAATGATTTAGGGGTTACCTTGTGGAGAAGATTTTATGAGGATGGATGAAATAGGTTTTGAATAAATACTTATTTTGGGCACTTTTAACTTGATTGAGGGATGATTGCCCACTTCTTGCGGGTAGAAATCTTGGTGTGCCTCGAGGGTAATCTTGTTTTTTTTTATCCAAAATCCATGTGTCGCCTCTATATTTTTCTTGATTATTTTTAGCTCCACAAATGCCCCCGCACCTACTAAGCTGTACGCAGGAAAGGGCAGCAGGTGTAGAGGTGTAGAGTTCTCCAGCTTTGATGCAAATTCTCACTTGGACTTAGAATTAGATTCTTCTAGGAAATGGAAATAAAACGCATCCAAAGCCTATTTAAGCCTACCTTAAGTAGGGGATTAAATCAACTTCGGAGGGCAATTATATGTCCCTACAAGAAAGAGAGAAAACTAGAGGATATTTGGTAGCTTGCCCATGCAAAGAATCTTCTTTCATTGATTTCTTTGTCTTTTTCGTTCTGTACCGATGTAAGAAAAACTTAATTCTTCTTGTCTTCTTCTTTGGTAGTTCTGCCAAGGGGCAACCGTCAGGGTGGTGTGGCACATCGGCTGACAGGGGCTAGGAATCGACTTGGCATGGGCTAAGGAGGTGGTGTGGTAGAGGCCATTGCTTATGCTGCTCGACTTGACTAAAGCTAAGGATTGGCTCGACATGGGCCAAGGAAGTGGCGTGGCATGGGCCACGGTTTGGGCAGCTTGCTAAAGATGAGGAAACTGCTTGAGTTTGATTTCTCAGCTACCGTAGATGGAGCAATCAAGGATGGAGTTACTAAAGATGAAGTGTCGGATGGGCGAAATGTTGAGTGAAAAGTGGTTGCTGCCCCCTGACCATTCGCTGCCTAGTTAGTTTTCAAGCATTCGATCTTTTGAGCTATGTGGCCTTCTCACACTAAAGAGCTTACCCAAATGGGTGTCGGGGAATCAGTTTACCTATCGCACTTGAAAGCAATTAGTTTACCCTCTCGCACTGGAGAACTATTGGTGTACCTTCTCGCACTGGAGATCAATTAGTTTATCATCTCGCACTGAATAACTTACCAGATGGGTGTCGGCAGATTGGTATACCCTCTCGCACTGGAAAGCATGGAAGTCGTTGTCGTGAATGCAGCTGAGGAAGGCTGGACTGCTGGAAAACTAAAATAATCCACACCCTGCGAGGTCTTGTTTGGCGAACTGTTTGAGACTTTGAACTGCTTTTGGAACCCACGTAAGGGTATAAGCGCAGTAAGCTGCTCCCAAAATTATTATGCCATCATTAGGTGTTTTGTCGTGCGCCCTTTTAAGGCTTGGTTAGCGCTAGCCACAGGGCAAGATCGGCACGGCTAAGAACTGTGGTGTAAGATTGGCACAGTTATAAGCCATGGTGATAGATCAATGGCTACCGGGTGCCGTGAAGTAAGTAGGCACGGCTGTTAAAATAGAGTTGGGTTGGCTTGGGCCAGGTTGTGCATAGTAGGAGGAATTGAACCACTAAGTCTGTGATGCTCGATTACTGGTGATGTGCTGCTTCAGTATTAAATCGTCTTAAGTGTTGAGAACAAGGCATGCCCCTAGTTCTTGGTAGTTAGGCTAATGTGTCATTCTGGTACTGGTTTTCCCTTGGCATGCCATTAGGCTGAGCTGCTACCTTTGTCAAAACAAAAGTAATCTTTGTATTCGACAATCTATGTGGGATAGTCCCGTCTGTTCGATCTTGTCATTGAAAGATGACCCGCTATGTTGGTCATGTCTCATCGAAGCATCTCGTTAATAGCTTCGTTACGCGGGAAATCGTGCAATCGTTCAGTTATGAGCCTTTTAACTTTTTCCTGAATTGTTTTTGTTGAGTAGCGGAGCTCTCAGTTGCCCCAGGTCGTGACCTACTGGTTTAGGCTGTTTTTCCATATGTTCGGCTCGTTTATGTCGCAGCTATGGTATATATGGTATGTTCCTAGCAGGTAAGTGAGTAACTCGCAGGCTGCTGGTTGAACTTGAGCTGGATTAAGTGACTGTTTCTTTCAGTCCGTTGTGCTGCCTACTTCGATGTGAAGTGGATGATGCTCCTTGCGGGCATTGCCACAAATGAACACTTCGCCTGGAAGGTCGCTCATGTTGATTATCGGAGGGTGGCCCTAACTGTGAGTGTATGTAGGCCTAGTCGAGAGTGCACGCTCATCTGTGCACTAAAACGAGAGTATACGCTATCTCAGGGGCCTAATCGGGATGCTCGGTTCGTGGTTGGTCAAGTGGTTGCTTGCCAGGACACTGCTGTAGAGGTTCATCGTCTGCTATTGTCCTTCTTTGGGACACCTCGTCTGAGGCACACTTCATCTCGGTACACTGCAAGAGTTGATTCACCAAGGTCATCTGTTGTGCGATGGCGTTTATCAACTCTATGACTTGTTGGGACAAGTGTTGTTCGCCATGTAGGATGTAATGGCTTGGATGGTAGGTTTCTCCATATGTGGTAGACTCCAGGCGCGAGATTTGAGTTGGGAAATGTCAAATCCGAGGATAAATGTGGTGAAAATGCCTCTGGTTCAATTGTAGGCCCTGAATTTTGAAGCCGGGACGGTTGAATAAGTCTTGGACTGATTTGGATTGCTTGGAAAGCCATGAGAGCAGACTAGGCCACAAAAGTGGGCTGCTGAGCATGTGGCGCACATGGGTGTGGGACTAAGCTCTGCTTAGCAATGCGTTGGGTTCTCGTCGGGCTTAAGTGGCTCAGGTTAGCTCGCCTTGGGCTTGGGCCCGTGTGGGCTTTAATGGCATGGTTTAAGCAGTGATTGTGGTGCCGTGAGCCTTGCCAAGGGTGGCTGTCGTGGTGGTCGCCACAGTGGTGCCTCGTGGAGTTGGTGCCACTCCAATTATCGTTGTGTTGAGCCTTGTAAATCGTCGCGGTCCCAATCCTCAAACGTTGGAATTTTCGTTTGTTGAGCTTTCCGAATCTCTTGCCATTGTTCCTTTCTTTTACATTTTATCAAAGAATTGTTAGAAAAAATTCCAAGAATAAGAACGTACGAAAAATCTACAAATGATCAAGAAAACGAAAAACCTTGAATGTGAGAGTCTTTTACGAGCGTTTGATCAAGACTCTCAATGAAAGCACCAATTTGTGGATGCAAATTTCTTCCTCCTTGTTCTTGGACAAAATTGCACCTATAAAACAAACAACACCTTAGGTCAAGGCCAAGAGCCTCACACGCTCACGATGAATGTTGGGGGGGCTTTAGCCAAATAACCTCTAATGCCAAAGTTAGAACTTTTAGGGAAAAATGTTTGGACAATTTAGAGAATTTAGCAAGAGTGTAGAACTTAGGTTTTGGAGAAAATGAGTGTGTTTATATAGGGGTGGTCGGCCCCTTTGAAAGGAGGAGGACCGGCCACTTGGATGGTTTTTTGGGTGAAATTCATAATTTACCTTGTGGAGAAGATTTGATGAGGATAGATGAAATAGGTTTTGAATAAATACCTATTTTGGGCACTTTTGACTTGATTGAGGGATGATTACCTACTGCTTGCGCGTAGAAATCCCAGTATGCCTCGAAGGTAATCTTATTTTTTTAACCCAAAAATTCACGTATCGCCTCTATATTTTTCTTGATTATTTTTTTATCCATAAGTCTAACTCCTACTATCCCAATCATGTGACACTCCTATCGAAGATTTACTCGTGGATTTACTCGGGTTCGAGACTTGGGAGCAGCCTCTCCATAAATGGGGGTAAGGCTAGCCGACATTCACCTCTCCCAGACCCTGCGTAAAGCGGGAGCCTTGTGCACTGGGTACGACCTTTTTATCTTTTTGGTAGTTAACCTTGTTATGAACCGCTCATCTTGTATTGGACTTGATTAAGATCTTGAATGGGACTGTTGGGCTACTCTATGACCTCTTGTTCAACCTCAGAGTTTGTTGGGTTGGGCTGGGAAATTCCTTTATTTAATCTCAATAGGCAGTCCAATAAGGTGAAGAAATAAATATGTGGACTATATAAAAGAAATACTTGGAATAAGATGCCAAATTTCTTCTTCACATTGCAGTTTGTGTCGTAGGGTATGCTAGATGGATCTTGTTTGCTTCTCCTTTATTTTCCTTCATACTTACGTATTAAGAACACTATTTTTCTTTCACTTTCCAATCAAATGTAGATACATTTTTTCT